CTCTATTATACTTATTGTGTAATATCAGAGGATTTCTGATTCATTGAATTGTGAGTCTTCTTTCGGAATGATGGAATGAAACTCTTCTAAGTCTTTTATTTCTCGGCGACGTTTCGGGCCTTAAGCCCTTCTTCAGGCTACAAATATATATGTACAAAGCCTGCACCAACAATCCTACTATTACACATACATCGCAAGATATTCGAAGAGGGAAAGCAATCAATTAATTAACAACTGACCGACTTCCTACAGGGTAGGGCCTGGGTTGGAGTGGGTCCGGGATGGAGTGGGTCGGGAGTTTGCTGCAAGATGGTTGAATGATGGAGCGAAAACAAGGAGTACGCGACATTGACTTACCTCCCCAGCTGTCCTTTTCCCGTAGAAATGAGATAGCTAGAAAGGCTCTGGGCTCAGAAGACGCAATACATGGCTATACATGGCGCATAACAGCAACAAGATGGAACTTGAGCAATACTCCCGTGCACCGGAAAGTATTGTCAAGGGTTGTGAAAATGTTATCTTTATTAGAACAAGGAACACTGCCCACAACCACGGCGAGTGTTCATTGTTGAGCTCGAATCTTTATTCATATAATATAGAATATAAATAGGCGCTGTTTATCGACGTGGGGGAGGGCATTTCCGTTGCTTCCCTAGTTCCGGTTTACAAATCTCACTCTGGTAAAACTTGTGAACGCTTGTGAAGCTGGAGCAAGATCGTCTAGCCACCATCCTAAAACGTGTCAACTCGAGAAAAAGCTACCTGGACAGGTCGACATCTATGGAAAGGTCCCCCCGGTCGATAAAGTGCGCCTACAAATATAAATATATATAAACTAAATAATACAATATATACATGCAATTGTGCAATTAACAATATATCTTATATAAATAGCGAATAATACATCAGTACTCATCAATCGCACTTTATCAGCATCGAAGTAAACAGCAACTATCAGCATTGAAGTAAACAGCAACAGTAATAACATGACATAATGCGCTAATTTAACACAGAACGCTAATTCTTCCACAAAGCAGGTTTCCAAAAGCTGCGGCAGCCGCTCAAGACCCTACCTCCTAGAACTGCAAAGTATGAACGCAGCTTTAGAGTGATTCTTTTTGCACGAAAAAGTGTCCAACTGTCCCTAAGGTCATTAGGTCAGGTTAAAGCCCCAAACTAGCTTGGAAAATGCAAGGATTCCCTACCACTCCTTCCTCGGATTAAGCCTCACTCATCTGAATATCAGCAATGTCGTTTGACGAGACAGATACAGAACTAAATCAACCGGAAATTCATCACATTTTGGATGGATCAAGAACCAAGCAAAAACCAGTGCGAGAGAAAAATTTACAGCGCTCAAACCAAAACGCCGATATACACACTGCAAATGGGAAGGCGGCTATAGCCTAGGAAACCGGCTTTAGGGAATGGGAAAAGATGAATAGTCACATTATCACAAATCACACAAATCACACTTTGCTCGAAATTTTAATAAGACCCACTTGTAATAAAAATTACAAATGGCAGAGATTGTCGAGAATGGCTTCGGCTTCTTGTTCATCGAACGCCATAGTACTCATCTGAGAGCTGTTAGTCCATTATGACCGTAATCAATGATAAGTTCAAACCCGCCATTATAGACGATTCTGAAATTTAAAGGTCCAGTGAAATTTAGCATCGTACAATGGTTGTGAGCAACATGGTAAGCCAAACAGTGTGAAGATACCTTTCCGTTATTTGATTCACGAAGGTACCAGCCTCTGGACAGCATTCCCAATGAAGCCTTTCCTTGTCGGCGCGGATATCCTCTGGTATCAAACCCCTAAAGCACTCATACTATGTAGAAGCCGAGTGATTCCTTACAAAACAATCAAACCTACCGTGTGTGTAGGTTTTCGCCTTTAGATCTCATGAAGCACAGTTCTCCTGAGTCATCAATGTTGATGTAAATCTAAGAACTTATATCTGAATGACAGGTAAGAGCAGTAGGCAAATCGCAGCCAGTAACTCCCCAACTGACCTCATTCCATACCCCATTGGAGTCACGGCTGAACTGGTGAACAGGAAGTGCATCCAGAAATTAGCAACAAACACGGAAAACTAAGCATGACGCAGTGATCTAATTGGAGACACTGAGGAGAGACGTTGACTTACCCCTTCAGGCACATCATCCAAATTTTTTTACCATGCTGATTGGAACTCCTGATTTCGATTTATTCTCCTTCACTGCGTTCTCTAGAAGAATGGCTGATGAAAGAAAAGGAAATGTCCGTGAAGGATAATCGAATTACCCACTACTGGATGAGCTCACTGCTGACGAGCACGAGCCACAAAGCAGCTCTTCTTGCTGCAGAATGAGGGCTCAGATGTCTCCACCAAATGTACACATTCTCTTCCTATGAAATGATAGAATTATAAACGATGAGGGGGAGGGCTCACGAGAACCCAAACGTTGTGAAACATTCGCGGTCCAAAAACTCATTGCAAAACCATAAATACTCGGGAGAAGAAGCCAAAATTTCTTACAGACGTTCAATTTTTAGATGCGAAGAAAAGAGTTCTGCAAAATAAAAAGGGGGTTTTTTAGCCAAAAGACGTCCATGAAAAACAATGCACGGAGAGCTTACTGGCTCAGCCTAGATAAGAAAATCCAAGAATTAAGTCATGCTTGCTACAAAGAAAGCAAACTACCTGAAACTTGTCCATTGTCACTAGGATATCGTGCATGAGTTGTCCTGTGCCTGGCCCACATTCAACAAGCTGCCAAGGTCCTAAATATTGGTTGAAAACTCTCAAATCCCACAGCCAATTTAGAAGAAAAACCTCACCTATATGCCCTGTATTTGCCAGTTCATAATAGCACCAGACGCCAAGAAGTTCTCCAAAGAGCTGGCTTAATTCAGGAGCAGTAATAAAATCCTTGTCCACCGAAAACCTACAACTCATCACAATGTGGAGTCAAAAATAGTAAATCTTGTCCTAGAAGTTCAAGAAGATTGAAAAATCAAGATTCAAAGTCTTCTATAGCATATCATGGTGCATTCCAGATCTAAATTGCGATTAGACCTCAGACCAAAGCCTCAAAACGCTGCTTTGTACTGTAGCAGGCATACGCTGGATCGATACCTATAGTTTCCTAGTCGCTCGCGCTCGCGCACTTTCGAAACGCTATGAATGAGGCCTCTTTACCGCCGTAACTACCCAGTACTTCGCTGTCAGGTGTAATTGAGAGATAATAAAGAAGGAATCACAGTTGATTTCATACGCGGAACAGGCAAACGAATGACGAAGAATTGAAACAATACGACCTTTGACTTGCACATATCATAAACCAAAGTGAACCTCCTCCGAGGGTTACCTCAAAAAGTGTAATTGATCACTTGAAAAATAGAGACGCCTATGTTTCTCCAAGTTTACCTTGTGTTTTTCTTATTATATCTTTTACACGTTTATTATCTTTATCTAGCAGCAATTTACTACAGTAGAAACAAACACACCGGAAAACCTGAAAGAATGTAATTACTTTTTTTCTCTAGAAAAGAAAATAGGCAGAAGACATACTTTCAATATTTTTGTTAGAAAACCAATATGAAATACTGGTCTTGCAAGTTCTAGATGTGCAAAATGGGATGATTTCAAGGCATTGCAGCATAAAAACTATACAAAATGGGAAAGAAAAACTAGAGGAAAGGTAATCGAAATAGGTAGTGCCGTGGTACAGCGTGGCGTTCAAACTGTTAAAGGGATCGTCAGTCCTTTAACAATTTGAATGGCACGCAGCAAAACTCGTACGCCCCGCCTCGCCCCGCCCACCAGCGCGGTGACCCACTTATTGTCGACGATAGAATAGACCGGGACCCGAGTACCGCGTCTCATACTAGCAAGGTGCTCCTTGATACAATTTGCCAAAACTTCCTGTCTCCCCAATATATGTGGAGTTACATGCCTGACAACGGATTTCATATATCACTCCCATATGCGCGCAGTCGCCATTCTTTCCGTGCGGCAAGTAACACAGTTTTCTGATATGCACTGCTTGTCGTAGAGTCTGTTGCGAACCAGCTGCTGCTTGATGTTTCCATTTGGTTTGTCTACCAACTGGGCATCATGCTGCAACTGTGTTCTTTTGGAGCGGCGACTTTATCAGATCTGAAAGGTAGCTAGTATATACAAAGGTAGCTTATCTCGATGCGGTACCTGTCATCGGCCGATATGCTGTCTCGTCCTTGAAGTGAAACCGTATAACCATTCACTGTGGCTATTCGATCTCTCGTGATTCTCTTCGTGAGAAGGCATAAAGTTGAGTAGAACCATGGTCTGGATTACGAAATAATGTGCACTCTGCTGGCGCATGAAACGGAAATCTCGGAAACGAAAGCATGAGGAATTCTGGATATTCCCTAGAAAACCCAGAATGAATAACCGAGATGAGTGTCCCTCAATTACAACCGACACTAGGTTCTATCGCACTGCGAGCTGTAGCTAGGCCTTATTTACGGATAAAGGCTCCTCCTAACAACCTCGTGAGGCACAGAAGAAACAACCACTTATAACTTATACTTACACTTAACATGCCGAGGTTGCAAGGAGAGAAAAGCTGGAGAATCTTCTGACTTGTACCGCCGAACCTCTTCTCTCTGGTCCGCGAAGCCATATCGCTTCTCCAGGAGGTAGTCGCCGCCCGTCAACCGCTCAAGTTTCTTCGAAGACGCAGGATCACCGGCGTGCTCCCTCTTTTCATCACAGATAAGAAGATCGGAACAGCATGCCGTCCACTTGAAGATCATCCATTGATAACATCTATTTATTATTCCATTCTAGATGTTGTTATTAGGCGAAAAGGGCATGTATTATATTCCTCGCTATTGAAGTGGAGAACTTGGAGGAGGGCTGAGGGTGAGTCAAGGCTGATTTGCGACACTATTCGATCTAGGGCCAAATTGACTCTTTGTGCGAAATACGACAGACTGCTGGGCGCTCGTCGGGGAGGCGACAATAGTCGTGGGAACAGCGACACCGCCAACCGCATCACACTAATGACGCGGCTCAAAGTGGCAAATTTTTTGAACGGGTCACGGTTATTGGCGGCACTCATCTCTCCTCTAATGCTTGGAGCTTGTTGAGGCTTGGTCTGTCCTGCCAGCTCAGAACATCACTGCACAAGTGTTTCGAAAAGTGGTTGGGATTCTGCAAAGGCTAATCCACTGCGCTTTAATAGCGAGCGTCGCAAAGGCAAACCATGCGTGCTCATCAAGGATTGCCTATGAGTGTACCGTTCTCACGCACAATAGACAGGAACCTTAATCATCACACGGAGTCGTTGTTAAATCTAGAATGTTATCAAGAGGTACTTCGGCCGTTTCAAATCATTGCAGACGGCATCAAAATGCAAACTTATCATGCGTGCAATGGCTGGGGTAAAGAGAACTGCGTGAGCTAAGAACAAACGGATCCATACGCATATCCGTGAGTGATAAGGGTGGCGAATTCGTAGTTATGTCACAAGTCTCTAGACCGTGCCATAACGGAAGTCATTTGCGGGACTCTAGCGTTTATCGCCGCGAAAGTGAGAAGGACTTTTCATCACAATGCAAACGACTCAACCGTATCTGGTTGTGCATAGGAAAATCTGCAGGACTCGATGACAAGTTCATTAGTAGACTCAAACTGGACAACCCGAATGTCCGGTTTTCTATAGCCTTTTAAAGACCCATAAACTCGCCTCTTATGGAAATATGCTGCTAATGCCCGCGGTTACGTATAAGATCCTTCCTATCATTAGTTGTGTGGGGGGACCAACCAATCCAATATCATGGTTTCTCAACACTATAGTCAGCCAACTGCTATCCTATCGTTCTCTCACTTGCAATAGAGGGCCACTTTCCTTGACTATCTACGGGTGTTGCCAATCCCAAACAGCCTGCTTGTGCATGGATTATTTGACGTTCACAATCGTTTACCTACTACACGTCTCAAAACTAGCGAATGCCTGTCCCCCCTAACATGCATTATCAAAATGTTGATAGCATATTCTGCGCATACGAACATCTGGGGAAAAGGGCACATAATGACTGACTCTAATCGAGGAGTGTTTAAACTGCAACATCTTCAAGTGAACAGGTGCATACTATTCCCAAGTTAAAGGGCTCGCCAGCGTCTGCACCAGTTCTCGCTGTCTGCTTTATGGGCAGAACAGAAGAACCGGTACTAGAACGCTTGCCCTTAAGGACGTGACCTGACGTTGTTACAACATCAGCTACCATAAGAGCTCCGAGAGCGACTGCTTTGAGTATATCCACTAAGCGTCAATTTGCGACAACCAGTACCGAAACATGAACAAACAGTTCTCCACCCATCCTGTAAGGAAAACTGTTAACGTAACTGCTACAGCGATTAGGTGCCAACATAAATTGTGAAACACATGCCGACCAGTCAACAGCAATAAATAAAGCGTCACACAGGACAAACAACCACGTAAAGCCCTTGACTGGGAATCCGTAATGAGCGCACGCTGTTTTCAATAACGAACCCTGCATGAGATTATGAAACACAGGTATCAAAACTGCCACTAAGAGGAGACCTTATCTATGGCCATACAGTCTGCACTGAGCCTCTCAGATACCATGCGTTCTGGCCCGGACGCCTAACCGTAAAGAGCGCAGTTCGTCAAGAATCAACATTTGAGGAGATCTATACGACCTCGCTAAGACTCCAGGCGTAACCAATCACATCGGATAGTCGCAATGCTTGCAGAAACTCACGTCGTCTAGCCGTTGCTGCCTTCGCGTGACACATGCTTACGAAGAGCGACATAGGCTATACAGGATTGTCAGAGGATATATTAACTAGACAATCACGAAGAGATGCTTCCGAAATAAGCCACTGCGAAGACGGGACAAGCATGGCCACTGCGCGCATATGTTAGTAATATACCGATTCCACTGTCAGGCATGTAACTCCACATATATGCGGGATACAGGAAGAGTTTTGGCAATTCGTATTAAGGAACACCTTGCTAGTATGAGACTCTTACATCAGCTCTGAAGACATAAAGTTGAGGAGTACCATGGTATAGATTTCCACATAAAATGCACTCTGCTAGAGCATGAAACGGAAATCTTGGCGAGGAAAGCATCGGAGACATTCTGGATAATCACTAGAAAACTCAGAATGAATAACCCTCGAGAAGTGTCCTCATCACATAGCGTTACCTTACCGTTTATACCGCACAGTGAGCTGTTACTGTGCGTCTCAGCAAAAAATTTATTATACACGAGTACTCCTTACTTATATCCGACTACGCTCTCGTATGTCTGCGGATTTTCTCCGCGCACAGAGTGGACCCTTAGGTAAGCTTGGATTCACGTTATCGTCGTCATCTCGAGAGGTTCCTGACACGATGCCGGAACCGCTAGGGCTGACGCTTGATGGGGTATGTCGTAAATCTAGATTTTGAAACATGTTCAGGCCTGTGAGGACGATGAGCCAGTCGAACGTGACCTTATTACTAAAAATAAATTATAAAGTTTCACCTAACAACCTCGTGAGGCACAGAAGAATTAACCATTTACACTTAATGCCGAGGTTGCAAGAAGAGAGAAGCTGGGGAATCTTGTTCCGAGTTTTTTTTTTCCGTTGCTGTACCTACTACCTTCCCCACACACACTCGCTCTCCCTGGGTCCGCCTCCCGTCCACAAGCATCCATCATGCTTCCGTGAGAAGCAGAGTTATAAAATACTAAGTAAACTTTTGTGTTTGTTTGAAGCCTATGCAACTTACTTTCTGACATCGTTCTTTTATGTATGTGTTTAATATTAATTTTGGTTTCTTTCTCGCATGCTTGCGTGCTGGACTCCTCTCATCACCGGATAGTAAGTTTTGCTTCATAGCACCGCACTCGGAGAGTTTCTATCCCACTGGTAGGTCCACAAAGTGCAATCACTCG